CTAGTGACGGTTGATGATCATGTTATATAACTCGAGATATAGAGACATAACAACTAGTGACGGTTGATGATCACGTTATCACAACTAGTGACGGTTGATGATCATGTTATAACAACTAGTGACGGTTGATGATCACGTTATCACAACTAGTGACGGTTGATGATCATGTTATATAACTCGAGATATAGAGACATAACAACTAGTGACGGTTGATGATCACGTTATCACAACTAGTGACGGTTGATGATCATGTTATATAACTCGAGATATAGAGACATAACAACTAGTGACGGTTGATGATCACGTTATCACAACTAGTGACGGTTGATGATCATGTTATAACAACTAGTGACGGTTGATGATCATGTTATATAACTCGAGATATAGAGACATCACAACTAGTGACGGTTGATGATCACGTTATCACAACTAGTGACGGTTGATGACTAGTGACGGTTGATGATCATGTTATATAACTCGAGATATAGAGACATAACATCTAGTGACGGTTGATGATCACGTTATCACAACTAGTGACGGTTGATGATCACGTTATCACAACTAGTGACGGTTGATGATCATGTTATATAACTCGAGATATAGAGACATCACAACTAGTGACGGTTGATGATCACGTTATCACAACTAGTGACGGTTGATGATCCGTTATCACAACTAGTGACGGTTGATGATCATGTTATAACAACTAGTGACGGTTGATGATCATGTTATATAACTCGAGATATAGAGACATCACAACTAGTGACGGTTGATGATCACGTTATAACAACTAGTGACGGTTGATGATCATGTTATCACAACTAGTGACGGTTGATGATCACGTTATCACAACTAGTGACGGTTGATGATCATGTTATAACAACTAGTGACGGTTGATGATCATGTTATATAACTCGAGATATAGAGACATCACAACTAGTGACGGTTGATGATCACGTTATCACAACTAGTGACGGTTGATGATCACGTTATCACAACTAGTGACGGTTGATGATCATGTTATAACAACTAGTGACGGTTGATGATCATGTTATATAACTCGAGATATAGAGACATCACAACTAGTGACGGTTGATGATCACGTTATCACAACTAGTGACGGTTGATGATCATGTTATCACAACTAGTGACGGTTGATGATCATGTTATCACAACTAGTGACGATTGATGATCATGTTATATAACTCGAGATATAGAGACATCACAACTAGTGACGGTTGATGATCACGTTATCACAACTAGTGACGGTTGATGATCATGTTATATAACTCGAGATATAGAGATATCACAACTAGTGACGATTGATGATCACGTTATCACAACTAGTGACGGTTGATGATCATGTTATATAACTCGAGATATAGAGACATCACAACTAGTGACGGTTGATGATCATGTTATATAACTCGAGATATAGAGATATCACAACTAGTGACGGTTGATGATCATGTTATATAACTCGAGATATAGAGACATCACAACTAGTGACGGTTGATGATCACGTTATCACAACTAGTGACGGTTGATGATCATGTTATATAACTCGAGATATAGAGACATCACAACTAGTGACGGTTGATGATCATGTTATATAACTCGAGATATAGAGACATCACAACTAGTGACGGTTGATGATCATGTTATATAACTCGAGATATAGAGACATCACAACTAGTGACGGTTGATGATCATGTTATATAACTCGAGATATAGAGATATCACAACTAGTGACGGTTGATGATCATGTTATCACAACTAGTGACGGTTGATGATCATGTTATATAACTCGAGATATAGAGACATCACAACTAGTGACGGTTGATGATCATGTTATATAACTCGAGATATAGAGATATCACAACTAGTGACGGTTGATGATCATGTTATCACAACTAGTGACGGTTGATGATCATGTTATCACAACTAGTGACGATTGATGATCATGTTATATAACTCGAGATATAGAGACATCACAACTAGTGACGGTTGATGATCACGTTATCACAACTAGTGACGGTTGATGATCATGTTATATAACTCGAGATATAGAGACATAACAACTAGTGACGGTTGATGATCACGTTATCACAACTAGTGACGGTTGATAATCATGTTATATATCTCGAGTTCGACAATATAGAAACTATTTCGGCTGTTTAGTTGATTATCTGCTAGGCTCCCAACTCTGAAGTACATCGTTATAACAAATTATTTAACTCGAGTTTCCCCTAACCCCGTCTTTCCCATAGTGTTGGTTTTAACGAGTATGCACAATAGACCGAAGTTTCCATAACCAAGGAATTCCACCGAAGGGGTTGCAGTATACAAAATAGTAACTTACTATAAAGTTAATTAACTTTTATATTATATGCTGTTAATAGAATGCATAATTAAATCGGCTGCGTACAATCTCTACCTTCCCATTATAAAGACCCGTAGTGACACTACTGCACACGCTAATCTCTTCCTCTCGGCTGGATCATGACTTTTTAGATATGTATAAATAAATATTTACGACCAGGTTCAGGTGAGGATTTCTCATGATTACCTCAAGCAATAAAAGGACAGGTAGTGTCTTAGAAGGACCAGGCGTTGCACACAGATGAAAAAATCAGTTCCGGTTAATGTTAGAATTAAGCTAACCATACTTTATATCTAGGATGTGTTTACTTTATTTTGTCAACGTTTTAATCAGAAAAATGTAGCGTATAGGGTTAAATTGAAAGACAACAGTTAGAGAGAGGTCAAATCAAACGAGGCCAGTGTTCGTACATGTTTTAAATGAACGAGTGTAATTAGGACAAACAGTACGGGCCCTATAGTACGAGAACGAGGCCGGGAATATATTTTAGAGGATATATCAGATATGGAACAGAGATAAATTCAAGGTAACGCACATAAATAATCGAAAATCATATTCACCGATTCAAATAAATGCATTTCATGTATAGAACTGTATAAGAGTGAGTTTTTTTAATTTTCAAATGTCTTCCTTTCGCACAGAAGCTCCAAAGAAAAACGGAAAGAGTGAACTAAGGAGAGGAAAGATCCAAAAGAGGAAACAGGATTTGAGAAAGAGACAAGTTATCCATTAAAATTAAAGCACAGACTGTTTTCATATATTAGCATGTACAACTACAGCTTCAGTAAATAACCGTTTTTTTTAAAGTCTGGTTAGAACAATAGATCCCTATTAATGACGAACTCATAGGTGACCCGATCTATAGTTTATATAAACGTGCCTCATTTGGCAATGATTTCAAACATATGATAACCCGGATTTTTATTCAAAATAAAATTTAGAACAAATCCGTGTGGCCAGAGGCCCGTCGTGACAGTGAGGTGTACCTTGATAGGCCGGGTATACATATGTGATCATCTCTTATCGCCCTTTGTTGGTATAAAACAATAGCTCTCCAATTACATTTATATATCAGATAAACAACCTTGTTTGTTTGTTACCCGTGGTTTGTGTTTATTGGTTTTACGGTTCCGTCCAATAAACTCCGTGCTGTGTCTTATCTGGTCTTAAACATGGCTCTAGCGAGGACATATATTGTTCAATATCTTATACAGGGGTCGCGGATATAAAACCGATGGGAGGGTAACGGGGGTTTACCTACACACGTTGATCTTTGGTCTTGTGGTATTAGCAAGGAATCAAACACATTGCAGGGTTACTACCCAGGGGTCATGGAATCATATTTGTATACTTATGTAGTGAAGGCACATAACAATAGAAACTGATTCAAAGCAAAAGAACGCCATTTTGAAATGTCAATCCTTCCTCCATCAAACACCCTTCCATCGGGTGGTCAATTTTTATCTTTAACCATTTATCCAACCTTTACTGAATAAACAAATAAAGAAAAAAATCATGGTTGTCCGATTATCCTACGTCATGTAAAAAGTCATCATGTACAATAATACCACCCGATTGTTTAGAACATCACTTCATCACCGCTCTCCTGTTAGGGTGGTTGTGTAGACCTCTGGTATATATACTTTATGTAGCCACAATATGCCTTCTTTATTGACCGGGAATATTGACGGAAACCAGACGGAATTATGGCCTCTGTATTCTAGCCACCACTTGTATCCGTCTTCACCCAATAAACAACTAGCGTTTTAAAGAAAAAAACGCACTTCATACATAAATACATCCAAGTAACTCGGTCGTTTAACAAAGCCTCCATGGTTACTAGAAAGTAGAGGTCGGGTTGATTACTGAGGGTCCACTCTAAACACGTTGTACTGAGTGTACCCTTGAGTGACTGGGAATATTGCTAATGTTTTTGGTTCTCTCTCTCTCTCTGTGTCTCTCTCTCATAAGAACGTGACATCAACTCACTTGGATTCACCATATATAACCACATTACTTATTTCCGGACCAAGATTTACAAGGCGGATGTCTTCAAAGAAACCGAAGACGCTTAATCTTCCAGAGCACCTGGTCTTATTCTCGTACGTTTTTCAGAAGTCTCATGTAAATCTTTCTTTTGCTTTTTTCCCTTAGCTTTTCTTTATTCTGAGTTTGAATTGTGGTTATGTTGACATCTCATTTTTGAGACGTCGTCTGACTAACTGGACAACATACGGTAGACTCGTGTCAGTCTGTGATGTTAGCTTCCCGAGACACACAACTCTCTCCGATAAGGGATCGAACCACGCACCCCGGATCTTCCCCTAAAGTTAAGTACAGTTCTTTGCACTACCGTATGATGTATAGCCTCCCATAGAGAAACCATGTTAGCAGCTCTTGATCATCAATTCATGAGAAACCCCGTCATTAGCTCATGGACATCAGTTCATGAGAAACCCCGTCAACAGCTCATGGACATAAGTTCATGAGAAACCATGCCATGAGCTCTTGAACCTAAATTTATGAGAAACGCCGTCAACAGGTCATGTCCCTAGATTTACGTAATTATTGATCTCGGCCTGGGAAAAAATATCAATGAAATACAAAAAGAACTTACTTATAATCCTTGAAGCGTCCTTTTCCCGTTGTGACCACGTAATATTGGCCGTTTTCGAATTGTGAAATATCCTTGATATGTGTTCTGCCTTTAGGTGTGAAAACGTCACGCATACATTCGTTTGCTTTGATCTTCTTCGTTACTTCATCAAGAAATGTGGTCATAGAGTTTGTGTTGATGATAACACGTTTCGGTGGTGTGAATGGATCGCCATTTTTACACAAGTACACCGATTTGGCCGTCGGGACACTGTGGAGATGATTCGAATTACCTGTTGATCTCGGTGACGACATCTTTTTCGTTTTTTTTTTAAATGATGCGTTAATTAACACAATCCATGTAAAGTTAAATTGAAGTATTCATATAAAGTGCTCCAAAACGAATGTTTTCTCTCTCGATGTTTTCTCTGATGAAAGGATAATATTTCAAACTGTGTGACTGCCCAGCGCCTCACCTGTATATCGGTGCTTTGACTTCGTATACTAAATAAGTATATATTCGGAACGTGGACGCTACACACCACTGGAGTGTTTGGGTAAGAATTTATGTCTGCTCCTCAAGACGTGCTAAGAGCCTGATATTAAGTCTCAGTAAAAAGTGTCGTGTATGTCCCAGTCTTTGTTTACCTGTGATGTTTACCCAGGACACGGCACAAACCTGGTAAGTTGACACAACTTGATACTCATAAACTAATCAAATGTGCTTAATTAATAACAACTGTCAACATACGAAGACTTCCGGTTGACAGTTTAATATCAATATATAACTTCCGGTCAACAATTTAAAAAAAACAATCACTTCCGGTTAAAAATAATTGAGCGAAAAACTTCCGGTTAATAGTTTTTGACGAACCATTCCATTGTAAACGTTTAACAACTTTCTGAAAACAAATTAAAAAGCACCTGTGATGATATTTAACAAAAAAACACTGCAGTGATGATAAAACCACAGAGACAGCACGCGATTTTTGTTTAGTCTTACTTAATATCTCTGTAGCTTTTAATGTAAAGATCCACCGGTAGACACGTTACCTCCTCTATAAACACCGTCCATATCCTGATAAATATTACGTTACACCCTTTACTAACCCTCCTCAGGAGAGCCGAGCTGAATTCAGAGCAGAACAGCCATTCTCAGGCCGTCACGTCGCTAGGAAAGCGCGTCCTTGTATCTATGGATGTATGCGATCCGTCAACCAAATTGAATGGCATTACAAGAGATGCGTCTCCAGTGTCGTTCTTACCTTAATTTACCTGTGTTTACCTGTGTTTACCTGTATATCGGGTCGTATACTGAGAGGTGGAATGACGGGTATGCGCGCCTCGCTCAGTGTATCAACCACAATCTGTATGTACACGTAATGGGCCATGGTCTAGATCGATACAGCACACAGGCTAGCTATTGTTAACGTAAGCTGCTGAACATGTGACATTCACATAGTCTTACTCAAGTTCCAACATCAAAGAACTCGATACATTTCCCTTATTCTCCGCCATAGCGATATACTCCTTTAACTATTGTTGAAGTATGAAGTAAGTAAGTAATGGACGCAGGCAAAACAAATGCCTCTTTATCCATATCTAAAGTTATATGATGATCGGGAGATGTTAGTTTCCTATAAAAATTCTAAGATTCTCATTTATAACATATATATAGCCAATTAAATGCTAAATAGCAAAAACAATTCACTATTTTCAAGTTGATATGACATCAAAAGTTTCCTCTTTATATATTGTTTCTGGGATGGCGCACAATTTTTCTACGCCAAGTTGGTCCACGGACACAGTATATATAATCCTCCGTTTCATTGTTTTCTTTCTGCTTCGCTTCCTCGTAAAATGCCGACTCTGTTGTCAATGTGATAAGTCGTTTCTTATTCCTACTGAGGAAAGTTGGCTATGATTTCTTATTTTTCTGATATTTTTAAATTTTCCTTTCTTTGGTTGTTGCGACTCAAAACGAACCAGAATAGGGCGGCTGTTATTGGTTATGTCATTAGACTCTGGTCTCTTTCCCAATCGTATAATTTTTCTAGGCCTATCTTTGTTTGACACTCCACAGACTTCTAATAAATTTCCTACAACGTTAGCATCTTCTTCCATACGTTGCTTTCCGTCGTGATGGGACTGTTCCGGAACACCAAATAGAATTATGTTGTTTTCCTTCTCTGCTCGCTCTTTAATTTCAGCAACTATTTCGTCTTTGCTTGGCGCAGATTTCTCAGATTTCAAGTTCATTTCCAGTTTAGCGATTAACCCTTTTACCTCTCTTTCAAGTTCTGCGATTCTATCTTCAAATTCTTGCGTGATTTGCCTACACCTCTCTTCTATTTTTCTGTCCGTGAGAATATTCTTTTCGACTGTCATTCTGCATGTTGGACAAAACCACATTGTATCTGATTTTGATAGGATGTCCTATTTCTTTTAATCAAATCCAGACATCTGATGCAGAAAAGGTCCTGGCATCGATCACACTTCATGTAATTCTTTGCTTCCTTCGAGCATATCTTGCAGTTATACTGTTCCTCCATCAATGCGTCGTTGAAGGACTCTTCCTAGTTCCGGGATGGATCCCAGTTGAGAAGCCGATTTCTTGCTACTTCTTGCACTTCCGGTTTGCATTTAGTCATTTTATCTGTTATATCGCGTATATTTTCGTATCCACGAATTCACACTACATCTAGGATGGTCTCCTGATCACTTCCGTACTGTATATCGATAATTACCTCCTTATCGGCTAATTATCGACGAAAATTACACCGTTGGTACTTGTACAACTGTATCCATGGCGTGACGTCAAAATTTTTAAGTGCAAGAAAACATATCTGCCTGATAAATGACCATGCAGTTCGGGGCAAGATACATAAAGTTTCAGCAAATAAACCCAACTTATTCTCAAGGTCATGAGAGTCCAATGATTTTTAAAAAGTCCTTAAGAATTAAGTCATCGTCATTTGTATATTTCGGTATAGGACTAGTGAACCAGAGATCCGGGGTTCGAATCCCGGCACAGGTATTGAAATCAAATTACCACTGTTACACAAAAACGAAAAAAATTGCTTTTTTTTTCTTCCGCTTGAGTATTGAGCAACTTTGATTATCTATTTCAAAACTGAAAGTTCAGGGGTCACGATAATGTAACATTTCCTCAAATGTTTCAAAAAAGAAATTGAGATGTCGCAAAATCTAGACATTTGTTACTAAATTTACGTTTCTGTACCGTCCGAGGGCTGGTCGCTAGAGTTCCCGGCCAGCAACTGCCCCACGTAGGTCTCGAACCCGCGACCATAGTGATAAAGACGGTCAGACGCCTTAATCGCCCAACCACCGCGGCCCCTGCATAAAAGCAAAGAAATAAAGAAATAAGTTTTGAAAATCATTAAGCTTAAGATCCGATATTTGACCAAAACTTACACAGGGTTAAGTATTATAAAGACTTCAGGCCACGATCATCCAATATGATTAGCAACTTCAACGCTTCGAAAGAGATCAATAATTTTCAATTCTACGATCCGTAATATTATGAATATTTGCATGTTTGTAAGGACCGTGATGTTGGAGATTCGTGCCAAGTATATGTTGTGACGGACTAGTTTGTTCTGATCATGACGTCATAATGGACACATAAATGATTACATTTACTGTATGACAACTTCATTTCAGTCTGGCGGATATAATTAATAAGATGTAATACACACACACACACACACACACACACACACACACACACACACACACACACACACACACACACACACACATATATATATTTAGCTGTGATTTTGCACTATACAACAGAACGAAAGAAGTCCCATCTGTTCCATATCGCATGTACTGTGAGGAACATGGATTTAGACAATCGAAATCGAACTGAAAAATATCAACTTAATCAAGTTAATATATAATCACTTTTTCATGATTACAATACATAACTATAGACAGACATATATCCACAAAACACCCCCTATCGTTCCGTATGTACTACAGGAAACGTGGGCTTCAGTTGGTAGGGACTTATGTTTGTCTTAACGAACTCCACTTGGTATCATGTTCTATAAATTCTGTAGTAAGATTATTATGTAATAGTGAAGCGCATTAGAGTATTTTGTCAAAATAGATAGTGCGCTTTATAAATGTTGTATATTATTATTATCAGACGTTTACTTAGTCTGATTAAAATACAGCTCACTACATATCTCTTACATGATCTGTAGCATCACACAAATGACGACCAATAGGCCTAGGTACTGTTATGGAAATTGTATATTTAGTTGAATATAAATAAAAATGGACATTTATAGATTATCAATTGAATAAATAATTCAGACAGCAGTACTTCACACTGTTCAGTTTACAAAACACGATTACGTATGTCTGCCACATCCTGTGTCATGGCTTTCTTTCTCCGTTCGCTTCGTTGCCTTCTGAAATATTCGTTTCTCTTATACCCTAGGCATCTGAAATGGTTTTATAAACAAACACAAATTTACATTTTATGTTTTTTCCACAACATACTGATCAAATGGGAGAGATAGGAAATTAAAATCTATCGAAAATGTATTTCTGAGCGTTTTGACATATCATAACATTATCTTCTACTTATAAATCACTTCATCCATGTAGTAATAGTTGCAGGTCTAGCGGTATGACATTATTTAGGTTCCGGTACAATTCTATTCTTTGTTCTACATAATTATTACAGGTGAAGACTCGGGAAATGATGTGTATCCTCAATAGTATGTCCACACAGAAAGTGACGATAATCAATTAGATGAGAATGGAAAAGGTCGTTATTTAAAGTGCTACATTTCTTAGTCTTTCTATTTCCAACAGAGTCAAAGTTAAGTAATTGTTTTCTATATCATATACTGAATATGAAGTCCTTTGCCTAATTTCTAGATCTAGTTGGTTCTAAAGTCGAAAAGTGCATGTGTCTACTAGATAAAGAATGAAAATAAGATAGTTACTCTTGAGATAAATCTGTTAACGAGAGCCAAGGAACTTATCGAAAATATTGTAATTATCAGGTTTCTTGGGGTTGTAGTGTGATGAAATGGGATACACTAATATGTGGACATTGTGGCAACTCCACTTCCAGATTCTGATTACAACTTGCAATGTCTGGAATCTGTTTTTTCCTGAAACACGTCAAGTCTTCACGAGTTAACTCCCTTTGGATTTATTGTACTATAGTGTATTTAGCGCGTGATTATTATCGATATTGTAGGACAAGCCATTTTTGCTATATTGGCACCATTCGTCTCGTTATCTGCATGTCGAGGTGAAGGAGACAG